CTGGGGGTATTATTGCTGTGGGGCTCTGTTATACACTCCGACGCATTACTGGGGGTATTATTGCTGTGAAGCTCTGTTATACATTCAGACGCATTACTGGGAGTATTATTGCTGTGGAGCTCTGTTATACACACAGACACATTACTGGGAGTATTATTGCTGTGGAGCTCTGTTACACACTCAGACACATTACTGGGAGTATTATTACTGTGGAGCTCTGTTATACACTCAGACACATTACTGGGAGTATTATTGCTGTGGAGCTCTGGTATACACTCAGACACATTACTGGGAGTATTATTGCTGTGGAGCTCTGTTATACACTCAGACACATTACTGGGAGTATTATTGCTGTGGAGCTCTGTTATACCCTCAGACACATTACTGGGAGTATTATTGCTGTGGGGCTCTGTTATACACTCAGACACATTACTGGGAGTATTATTGCTGTGGAGCTCTGTTATACCCTCAGACACATTACTGGGAGTATCATTGATGTGGAGCTCTGTTATACACTCAGACACATTACTGGGAGTATTATTGCTGTGGAGCTCTGTTATACACTCAAGACACATTACTGGGAGTATTATTGCTGTGGAGCTCTGTTATACACTCAGACACATTACTGGGAGTATTATTGCTGTGGAGCTCTGTGATACACTCAGACACATTACTGGGAGTATTATTGCTGTGGAGCTCTGCTATACACTCAGATACATTACTGGGAGTATTATTGCTGTGGAGCTCTGTTATACACTCAGACACATTACTGGGAGTATTATTGCTGTGGAGCTCTGCTATACACTCAGACACATTACTGGGAGTATTATTGCTGTGGAGCTCTGTTATACACTCAGACACATTACTGAGAGTATTATTACTGTGGAGCTCTGTTATACACTCAGGCACATTACTGGGAGTATTATTGCTGTGGAGCTCTGTTATACACTCAGACACATTACTGAGATTATTATTACTGTGGAGCTCTGTTATACACTCACATTACTGGGAGTATTATTGCTGTGGAGCTCTGTTATACACTCAGTCACATTACTGGGAGTATTATTGCTGTGGGGCTCTGTTATACACTCAGACACATTACTGGGAGTATTATTGCTGTGGAGCTTTGTTATACACTCAGACACATTACTGGGAGTATTATTGCTGTGGAGCTCTGTTATACACGCACATTACTGGGAGTATTATTGCTGTGGAGCTCTGTTATACACTCAGACACATTACTGGGAGTATTATTGCTGTGGAGCTCTGTTATACCACTCAGACACCTTACTGGGAGTGTTATTGCTGTGGGGCTCTGTTATACACTCAGACACATTACTGGGAGTATTATTGCTGTGGAGCTCTGTTATACACTCAGACACATTACTGGGAGTATTATTGCTGTGGGGCTCTGTTATACACTCAGATACATTACTGGGAGTATTATTGCTGTATAGCTCTGTTATACACTCAGACACATTACTGGGAGTATTATTGCTGTGGAGCTCTGTTAAACACTCAGACACATTACTGGGAGTATTATTGCTGTGGGGCTCTGTTATACACTCAGATACATTACTGGGAGTATTATTGCTGTATAGCTCTGTTATACACTCAGACACATTACTGGGAGTATTATTGCTGTGGAGCTCTGTTAAACACTCAGACACATTACTGGGAGTATTATTGCTGTATAGCTCTGTTATACATTCAGACACATTACTGGGAGTATTATTGCTGTGGAGCTCTATTATACACTCAGACACATTCACGGGTGTAGGAACCAGGGGGGATGGGGGCGATGCATCCCCCCAGGAAATCATCCGGTGGGACAGATAATGCAGAAATCTCCCCCAGGTCCGCCAGCCGAAGGGGAGTGCAAAAATCACTTGTCAGACTGACAAGTGATGGTTGCCGTCCTCCTGACAGGCTGCGTGCTCCTCCCCCTCCCGCTCTGCATAGGAGCGCGGGTGGCTACTAATAGGAAGGGGCTACTAATAGGAATGGAGGCGGGTGGAAGGGTACTAATAGGGGTAGAAGGAGGTACCAATATGAATGGAGGGGGTGGGTGTACTAATATGAATGGAGGGCGGTAGGAGGGGGTACAAATATATGAATGGGTCCCAGGAGTGAAGGGGTACACATGCTATGGTGGAGGGTTGGGGGAGACAAATGTTGATGCAGGAGAGCCTGACAGGAAACCAGCTTCAGAGGGATGGACACAGGTTTCTTCAGGAAGGAAGAGATTCTTTATTGGATCACCGATCGGGACTCAGAGGGACTAATGTCACCAAAAATACAGCAAGTTCTGAGCCCTGAACAATAGTGCAGGCTCCCTATATAGGCACATAACACCTCCCATTAATAGCTACACCCACATATACCTTTAACCAATCAATGAGCAGAATATAGACTTGTACATCTAGTCAAACCACATGGCTCATCCAAGACAAAGGAAATAAGTGCAATTTCAGTTTCTGCATTCCTGCACATGCTCAGTACACTGATGACAGTATCCTAGCTACATGTAGCTAACCAACTGACACAACATACACATATGCCACATGGAGATTTTGGCCTACTAAATTTATTTTTACCGAGATTCCACCACATTCCCCCCTTTGATGCCTCTTGATATTTTACAATTACTTGAGGCATCACTTAACCTTGGTTTGCATACACCACGAGTTACCTTTGAACCAGACCAGACTTATCCTACGATGTGAATCTTCAACACTCGTCTTCCTGCATTGGTTCTCCCTGATCTAGAGCCTTATATTTATAAATTGCCATTATCTGTGCAGCAGCCTTCCTCTCTGCTATATTTTCTATCAGGCTTTGCACAGACCTAACTACTAAGGGTATAAGACACGGCAGGAGTAGACACAACATTAAAATCAGTAGGACTCCACCTACCACTGCCTTAAGCCCTCCAAACCACTCATGCCAGCTACCAAACCAACTACTTGGATTGTACCCTTTCCATACCTGAGTAGGCACATGCGCTAGTTTAACCATGTGGCTTGTAAGTTCAGCTATTGCTTGCCCTTCGTCATCTATTTGAAGACAGCAATTGCTCAGGTTAAACTTCCCACATACACCTCCCTCTACTGCCAAAAGATAATCCAAGGCTAGTCTATTTTGGTAAACTGCTGTCCTCATCCTGGTATTATGCTTCGCTAGAAGATTGAGCGCTTGTGATATCTCGTTAGTAATGATCTCAACCACCGCCTGTAACCTTATAATGCGGTTGAGCATATAAATAGGGGTTCTATAACCAAAGGTACCATCCTCTGCCCACATGGCTGGCCCATAATAATCTATAATACGCTGGGGAGGCCATTCATTATCTTCCCAGGCACCTATCTCTATGGGTCCCCTTTTCTTCCTATGATTCACATCATACACTTTAACACCTAAAGTCTCACCTGTTTCAATAGGCAACAGGAAGAAAGATGGCTTTAGCATACCTAATACACATGCCCCTTCCCAATCTTGTGGTAACTCCGAATAGGCCTTCTTACCACAGATCCAGTACAAATTCGCTGGGGCTCTCCAGTTAGATGTGATGGATAGATCAAACCATACGTCCTTTAAATTGGCATATCTTGCAAACGGGTTAGATGGTTCTGAGACATTTGAAGCTGACCACCAAGTAGTATTTTAGTATTAACATTATAGGCTTTTTGTCCCAAGCACGTTAGCTCACCTACAGACGTGTTATACATTGTCCCTTTCCTGGCTATACAAACATGACCTATAATGGAGGTTTTTAACCACCATTCCAATTTACTTCTAGTACTTACTTGATGATCAGACTGGAAAGGTATCTGTTGTTCATATGTCTCAGAGCCAGGGTACCATATTTCCTTTGCCTCCCATGTCCACTGGTCTCCCATATTAGTACCTCCACACACATAGCAATTAGTTACATTAAGACTACCTGCAATACCCTCAGCCAAATCAATAAATAGGTTGTTAACATTATGGGGAATTTTATCCTCAATACTCATCTCCTCATAGAAGGAATGAGAAACCTGATGAGTTTGAGTTGCCACTGTCTCAGTTTCAAGACCTACATATATTATTGTTCCTGAATTTACTCCTGTGCCATATATTTGGACCCAAACAGACCTCCAAACCTGTCAATAAAGTACTGCAGATTGGAAATGGTCATGTGAACGGGGTTACACACATAGTTTTACAGTATGGTGTGGTAGGCAACCTTTGGATAATCATATCTTGATCCACTGTTTTTCCCAAGTTGCCCAACCTACACATGACAAATAGGGGCAGAAGTTAGTCTCTATTTGGGCAATCAGGATCAGTAGATCTTTTACTGGGACATAAGTATTTATCATTAAACCCATAAGTTCGTTCCCATTTAAGATTACCACATACATTCCAAAGTCTTCCACTACCCGAAATCGCCTTACATGCATCAAATAGTAGAATACCCGCGGAATGTATGGTGCTTATCACAGTCCTATTTATTAATGTCCCCTGGGAGTTACTATTCCGAATTACCAACCAAATTATACGGGGTTGGAAATGGGGATCAAAACATTTAGACTCTCCTGATATTGGCTTGCACACACTATAATCAATATCCAAATATCTACATTTAGATACAGATCCCTTACATTCATACTGTGAGTGCCAGATGAAAGTTTGGGATATTTGGTTACCTGTTTTAGTAGTCTTAATGCAACTATCGCAAGTCGGTATGTCTGTACTCCTACCTTCCTGAAAAATCATAAAAATACTAAGACACAATAAAACACATTATTCCTGAAATCCTCATTTTTCTTCAACCGTGCGATGGCCTCTCAGCTTCCCGATTGTGAGGGCTGCAAGGATGTTGTTCTTCTGATCATCACTTTCCTTCACAGAGATCCCTTCAAGATACTCTGGCTATGACACGTAGGCAGGTGGTCAGGCTTTATTATGGCCGTCAAAACACCTACTTGATGATCTTTGTAGACTTTTAACTAGAATGTCTCGCTATCCCCTCGTCACTCCGACTGAGTTGCACGCTTCAACCGGGTCCTGCAAGGATTCTCAGGATCTGGAGTAGCTTGCCAAGAGTCTGCTGCTGGTTTAACCTTAGAATGATGAATCCAAAGAGTCACTTCCGCCACCTTTACAGCTGTTGGGGTAGATAAAAGAACAACATACAAAGGCTAACAGAATACACCCCGAGCTTTAACTCATTATGTATTGGTGGGATATTACGAGCAAGTCCTGGAGGATTATTTTCTTCCCATACTCCTGGAATGTCAAATAAGGATTCATCACTCTTAGGGTTAACACTTGTCACTATGGAATAGAAGCGTCATTCTTCTTCCCTCGGCACCGATATCACCATTATGCCTGGTAATCCCTTAAACTTCAGAGATGTTAATCCATTAGGTAAAAGGTTATCTGAGTTTAAAGCTTCGATAATAGATCTCGTCCTAAAAGTTGAATCGGACACTCTGGCATATATAGGAACTAATGCTTCACCACAGAATGTTCAGCACCTGTGTCGATCATGAAAGAACTTCTCTTTCCCCCTATTGCTACATCGACCATAGGCTACGCTCGACCAAATGGGATGGAGCCCAGTCGGTATCAATAGTCTTCCATGATAGTGTCAGCCAGACCCACAAAATCTCTATCCTCTCTTTCTCTAGGTCTCTGCGTGGGTGGATAGTATCTGTCTCCTTGAACACTTCCTCTACTATTCCCACCATTCCCTCTAAAACTTCCTCTTACTCTATAACTACCACTCCTCGTACCCTTCTCTCTCCTTGTCTATCACCTTCATACTGCTCTCTCTGTGGACACTCACTCTTCCAATGTCCCTCCTTTCTACAATACGCACATTAATTCCTACTTAAAGTCCCTTGCTCAGCCTATTCTCGTCTCCTCTATTCACTTCCCTGTCTTTCTACACTTAAGATAGCTACCGCTAGCATATCTGCCTTTTTCCTCATTTTACGTTCTTCCTCCATCTCCCTATTCATATATACTGTATTTGCAATCTCCATTAGCTGTATTATGGACATCCCTACAAATCCCTCTAATTTTCTTTAATTTCCTTTTACTATCACCTTGGGCCTGGCTGACAAATGCTGAGTCTATCATTCGAAGTTTTCAGGGGCCTCTGGATTAAAGGGAGTATACAACCTATTTGACTCAAGCAGTGTCTAATATGGGACTTCGGCAAGGCTGCCCAATAATAGGTTCCAGTCTAGGAGTAGTAAGATAATTTTATTAGTCAGCATTTGGTGGATAAAAAAACGTTTTTTTTTTAAAAGTGTTAAACCAAAAACCTACCAGTAGGTGTCACCAGAGGGTAATTGTATCAAAATAATCTTTATGGGTCTAATAAGAAAACTCAACTTTTAATATATTTATACATAAAATAAAACCTTATAGCAATAAATATATTAAAATAGGGTAAGCAATCCTACATCTATCTGTTATAAACAATGTATTATCAATGTAACTCCCGAAGATGGCCAGTAGGTGGCTTAGAGTGCCTCCCTAAAGTCAAATGAAACAAATAGACTTTAATTAATTATGTCCTATTTTATTATTACTTATTTTAATCAATGTCCACCCTGCTAGCTAGGTTTGATTAAATCTTTAGTTCTAAGGTAAATTAAACATTTCAGTTTGTAGTTTAGTAAAAGGGGACATTTTGGACAAAGCTGGGAGGGGCCCATCCAGTAACTAAAAAAACCAATATACCATTTGATACCATTGATCATTGATTAGGGGGAGGGGTAGTACAGAAATACAAGAGTTTGAAACACAGGAACAGATAGGTATGTGGGTAGGCGGGGACAGTAGAGCAGGGAGAGTGCAAATACTGATTATACCAGCCAGAAATGGGCGTGGCTAATCTGGCTCTGGAGGATGTTTGGGGGGTTGGTAATCAGATGCCAGGGAGGGGGAGGGGATGTCCAAAGCAGTTGTAATTAAGTCCTTAGTTCTGACCACCATGTGGCTACATTGTTTCCCATATGACACAGTTTAATTCACCAAGGCAACAATCAGTTTCCAACAGTCAATATATAGAAACTGATCATAGAATTCCGGCCTACTAGTTACAGCCACATGTACACCCTGCACTAAATTTAAGTGAAGACTGCTACATGGAGGCCATGCGGCCACCAGGACAAGCTACTCCCTACTTTTTTTATTTTTTTTTTTTAAACCTACAAGACAAAAGACTAACAGCCAAGTGAATCAGATTATTTCAACAGAACGTCTGATTCAAAAAGCTGTACAAATATACACACAGTTTCAACAGTCACACCAATCTCCTTATCACCAGCAACACATTGCGCAGTCACTAGGCCCAAACACACACACAGGATCCTCACATGCTCAACAATATCACGACGTTGCACACACGAAATTAAATCAAAAACCCACCAAAGACTATACACTTATCAATGTAACTATTATTCAAACCATACAACTATCCACGCTATTAATCCATATAAACTAACCGATCACATAACAGTTCAACAAATTCATCTCTACAATTATCTGTACTATAAATCAACTTTTGACTAACCAACTATATCACATTCTAGTAACCTCATCTTTACAGTCAGTGGTTATGGTACAGTTAGTAAGTGGTTATAATACAGTTTTAAAGTCACAGATCAGTTAGTAACAATTATGGTATTATACATATAACATAAAACAGCAATTGTTAGTAATTTTTACACAATGTCAGTGGTTATGGTACATGTCAGTAGTTATGGTACCGTGCGCTATTTTACGGTTATACA